TCTGTTTCTCTGTCTGTTTCTCAATCGCTGTATTCTTCAATATCTTCTCCATCCGGTAACATTGACGGAGATGCGTTTGGGAAAGCATTAACATTAGCAGACCCTGCTCTGCTGTCATCAACTTGATCATATTCATCATCTTCATTATCAGTCGCAAGTATAAAGTAATCCCCACGCACAGGAGGTTTCTCTGGTAAACCGCAACAAAGTATATTATACCGCAGCAGAGAACATATCCGTTTTACCGGTTTTTCTCTTTTTTCTGTCTTGGAAAACGAAAATAACGTCCTCTTCGGACCAGTCATATCAAATGTAGTTTTCTTTACAAACCCTTTGGTAGGCAAGGAGATAGAAGTATTAGCAGTAGTAGTAATGGTAGTAGTAGTAGGAGTAGAAACAAAAGAAGAAGAAGAAGTATTTGATGTCATAACTTTTTCTTTCTTGATAACACGTAAAGGACGATCCAGTACGATATGCCTTGCATACGGGAGATACTCCAGTAGAACTGTATCTAAAGCACTACATCCATTCATAAGCGATGGAAGACTTTCTCGAATAATATCAACTTCCATACCACTCAACTTACTACCATCTGAAGCATGTAATTGTAATCGCCTTAAGAAGTCTTGACGCCAACTTTGTTCAGTTGAAAGTAATTCCGGTGCAAGTATCCCTTCTGAGTCTCCAATTTTATTCTTACTAAATACATCATAGTAATTAGTATGATCCACACTATTATCATAATAACAATAATAATCATTCCAAGTATTCCTTAACCGTTTTCGCACCTGTCTTGTTAATTCTCGTAAACGTGGATACGCCGAGGGATGATATGGTGGTGGCCGTTGAGCTATAAAAGAGTGTGGTGTATGAACTTCTTTATGATAAACAACATAACTTGTGGTGAAGAGAACAAGTGAGAGAAGATCCATTCCAATAGCCCCCGCTCCCTCATTTTCATCTGAGTTTGTCACTCGATTAGTGTGGAGTTCCCCACCAGCACGTCTCCATTTATTAAATGTACCGGAAGCACGTAAAGCATCTGCTGAACTTGCAGCCGCCGCACATGCCGCATATTCCTGTATTTGATCTGAATGGAAATAAGCAGGCATATTGTTTGTTAAATAACCCAGCAATTTTTCAGGTTCCACATTTAATTCCTCTGCAACTGTAGACATGGTATATTTCTGTGAAAGAATACGTGCGGTTGCATGAGCTACATCAAGATATTCATCTCTAAATATCATAGATATATTTTCTCCTTCATTCTTATCGGCATCCACTTTAATACTTAATGAGGATTCAGACATACATTCCATACTACTCAAACTTTCTCCCTCATCAAGTATATCTATCACATTTTTTACTTTCTGTGATATTTTACTTTTCTTTTGTTTGGGTTTATATCCAGATGAGAGATATTTAGAGTCTTTTCGTAATTCTTTTCGACCTAATAGATACCATTCTAATTGAAGTAAAGCATGACGTATATCCCCATGACTATTTTCGCAAAGAAATTGTATATCTTCATCAGAAACAAAACTTTCTAAATTAAATAATAAAGAACGTCTTCGCATTTCCATTTTTAATATTTCTTTAATACGAGTTGACATATTACGTGTTGTGATGGGTGTGCAATGAAATGTCTGAAGAGAGGGATGAAGAAGAACACGCGTGGGAAATGATTTTGAAAGTGCCACTTTATCACTATGGGTATCATGCGTGGTAGCTATAAATATCACAAAATGACGACGAAGAAGAGATAAATTTCCTATCATTCCCGTACTTGTATCATTGGAGTTTCTGATAGTAGTCGAATAAGAAGAAGAACTATTACTATTATTATTACTATTACTATTACTATTGTTAGTAGTATTAGCAGCAGTATAAACTCGTCTCCATGTATCGTAGTGGTCAAGAAAACGAAGTGTCAGTGTATGTAAGTGTGACATTGGAGCTTCACCATAATATTTCACTACACGAACCACTACTCTTCCTTCTTGATATTGTGATTTTTTCTTTCCATTGGGATTTATTTCATTAGATGTATTTAAATTATCTGAAGAGTTCATAGGAGTTGATGAACCCCACCCACTAGAATCTATCCCCTCATGAACAGTGAACGTATCCATGAGAAACTGATAATACTGTTGATGTGTAATTTCACTAGTGTGAAGGACTTGCAGTAACGGTGGAAGTCCACAAGCATCTCGCTGCTCACATAATAGAGTTTGCACAGCAGAGAGTTTTCCACATCCTGTTGGGCCATAGAGAAGAATCACACGCGGCGGCTGCACCCCCTTTTGCATGTCTGAGAAGAGGCGAAGGAACACCGTTTTCTTCTGACGACTCCATGCGACCGCTTCGGTATCTTGCGGGGCATACAATTCATGTAACATTCCTTTGCTTATTATTATTTTGTAAAGAGTTTCATTTGATTGATTAATTGATTCGAGTGAAGAAAGAAGAATTAGAGCAAAGAGATGTACTACACGTGCCATAGATCCACTTTTCTCGTATATACAGAGAATCAGACCCATATATATATATACATAGAAAATAGATTGATAGATATATAGATATACACAGTATATTACAAACTAATATTTTTCTGGATATGTGTTTTTAATAGTAGTACCATCACATCACTCATATACACCATAGTTAATCGAATTTAAGTAAAATCTCATATGTGAAGAATTAATTCAAATTCCCATGATTTCTCCTCTTCTTCTTCTTCTTCTTCTCCCATCTCCTGTTATTACTATTCTTAATAATAATAATAATAATAATAATAATAATAATAATAATCATGGTGATTCAGAAATGTAGTCTTTGAAAGGATCCTCTGTCTTAAAGTGTGTCCACTCTGCAGGTCCTTCTTTATCTTCCGCTGCCTCTAAACCCAATCTCACACGCCGTCGCTTTCTTTTCTGCATATATCGCTCTATTCCACACCGCAGTAATTCCACACTTACAGGAAATGAAAGACGCCATGCATGCAACATCATTCGTTCCCAAGTATTCGCATTTATTCCTACATTACTCTCCATAATTTCACTACCATATTCTCTCACTACTGCTGCATTTCCTCCTTCTATTACTTCTTCTTCTTTTTCTTTTTCTTTTTCTTTTGTTGTTGTTGTTGTTCTTATCATCTCTACAATTTGGGGTGATGAAACCGCATCGTAAGTCACATCGCCAAGAATAGGAAATCCAAGAGCATGACAATGTACACGGAGTTGATGTCGACGTCCGGTTCGTGGGATGAGAATAACTTTAGTGACCGGCACAACTGTACACTTCTCTGTTGGATGCTGTATATATCCTCGCTGGAGAATATACATATATGTTAAACTCTCACGTGCATCTCGGCCATTCACCGCCATACGAAATCCACCAGGATCACTATCATCATATCCCACAGGGAGATCTATCGCAAGAAGATGAAAAGAAGAAGATGATGATAATGAAATATCATCATTGCGGTTCTTTTCACTACTATGAGTATTATGAATATCCTTCTTCTTCTTCTCTTTGTTATTGTTATCATTTGCATCATTTACACATCTACGAATAAAGTCAGCGTTAGGTAATTCATCAACTCTCACTACACGAACAGCATTCGAATACGGTAATTCCCTATGCATCTGTACACCAGCAGAAATACTGTTCTTTTCACTATTACAATTCTCTTTACTCAGTGGTGGTATTATGCCTCGCAGGATAGCCAAGTATGCCTTTTGTGTTGTTCGCATTTCAAAACAATGAGAGAGACGTGCGGCCATTTCTCTTGAGAAGGCTACACACAACACTCCACTTGTGGCGTAGTCTAATTGATGAACGAACTTTACTTTTTTCTTCCCATCCGTTGGTGCTCCACTCTCCTTTGAAGAGAGATTCCCATTGTTTTTATTATTATTATTATTATTATTATTATCACTACTAGTATTCGCCCGGTGTGATAATGCCCATCTCTCCACTGTTACGGGGTGTTCATCTCCATCCATTGGGACATCATGGGGTTTATTAACAACAACTAAATCTTCATTCTCATAAATAACACGAAAAGAATGGCAATCTAAAGACATATTCATACAAACTAATACCACCACGACTACCCACCACCACAAGAAGAATAAGAAGCACCTTTTTTATTTTATTTTATTTTTTTTATTTATTTTTTCTCTTTTTTTTCCTATACCCAGAGAGGCTAACAGATAAGAAGAATAAGAAAAAATAAAAAAAAAAAATGGTCTGTGGGTGAGAGGCTTAAGCAAAAAAAAAAAAAAAAAAAAAAAAAAAAAAAAAATGAAAAGGAAAAAAAAACATGTGGAGAAGAAATAATGAGAACAAATTAAACTACAATTAAAAGCAGACAAATTGTACACAAAGACTGACAAAGAAACAGGGAGACAGGGAGAGAGAAAGAGAGAAAGAGAAAATATTAGCATAAGGAGAGTAGTAAACAACTACAACGAAAAAATTCCTTCCGTATTCAGTAGTCTTCTTTTTTTTTTTCTTCTTTTCTTTCTTTATTCTAAACTGCGAGAACGTTTTCGTCTAGGTCTTTCATCTCCATTTTCTTCTGGCTTAATATATTGTTCTGTTTTATTATCAGATGTATTTTCATCAGTTGACCCCTGCTGATGTTGTGATTGCTGCATCTGTTGGGGTTCATTATTAGGGAAATCTCCTTGTCGAGAATTCCCTGAAAGTTGAAACAAATTGGGAAGGAATTCATCACCGTTAAAAGTACTTAAACTCTCCGTTATTCGTCTTGCCATAGTAGAGCCCTTACCAGGACTTTCTTCTTTTCTCATATTATGTGTCGGTACAGCCACTCCAAGGTGTCTTTCATTATGTTCTTTCCATGTTTCAAATGCGGCGGCAACAACATCCATAAAAACTCTATCACGTACCATTACAATAACAAGTTTCTCACCATATTCACTTGGTGAGAAGAGAGGACTCATGCGTCGTTTGGGAAGTTTAAAAGCCCCAAATTCCATATTCTTTGGATTGTAAAAAGCCACGTGATTAATGGGATCATCTGGTATACCATGATCATCACTACTGCCAAATGTAATGGAAATAAATGAAACAATTAATGTTGCCTCAACCGCATCTCGCCACTCTGGATTATCCTCCATTGGTAAACAATAACTCAAAATCTCTTCTTGTATACTTTCCTCTGTAAGACGTACTTGATAACGCGCAAACAATGCCATACCAACTACTGTATATAAATCACGTTCATTAATACGTTTTATAATGGATTGGGCCTTCGCAAGCTGTGGGTCACCAGAAGCAGCAATGGCATTCCAAACCCAATCCCCAAGTTGACAAAAACCTTCTTCATCTTCTACACATTCAGACATACGAATAAGTTGACCATCTTTTCCACGTATTTTAAAGTATGGATCAGCTTCATAAAGGACGTCTGATACCATATAATCTGTGACTTTTACAATACGATGTTGATAAGCATGTTTGTGTAACTTTGCACGAACATTAAATATATCACCCAAACTAAGAGCCATTTTTTCCTCAAAGCATATTTGATATTCACCTTCAAAGCAGATAACTTTACATGCACTTAAAAGTCGAGGGACATGAACATCAACAGCTGCACGTCCATAACAGCCAAGTGAATCTCGTAAAAAGTAATCAAGTTTGTCAACATCAATACCATTTCTTTTATTTGCCACAATATCCACAAGAAAACGTTTACTAGGTGGTCTACCAATATTATTTGGCCACTGTGCTCGTGGTGCTAAACCTGATATACAAAGTTCCATAAAATGAGCATCTTCTTCAGTAAGACCATAACTAGAAAGATTTAATCGTGAAAGAATACGCCTTAAAAGGCGGACTGACATTTCTTCATGATGCCATAAATGTTGAGGTCTTTTTGCCATTCGAATACGATTAACTACGTGTTCAAATAAGTGACTAAAAGGACCGTGACCAATATCATGACAAAGAGCTGCTATTGTTACACTGAGAATATCAGCACGTGTAATACCCAACTCAGGTTGACAGATTGAAATGTGATTAACCATCTCAGAAGCAAGGTGAGCTACACCTATAGAATGTTCAAATCGTGTATGTGTTGCACCTGGATAAAGATAAACAGCTGTTCCAAGTTGTTTTAAGGTACGAAGTCGTTGAAATTCAAGTGTATCAGCTATACGAATGGCAATCATGGGAAGGAAAACATACTCATGTACACGATCTTGAATGAGTTTCCCTGGACGTTCATTTAAACGTATTTCTGGTGAACAGCAGAATAATTCTCCAGAAAGATCTTCAGTTTGGCGTCTCATTTCTTCTTCAACCGTAGAACATGCTTTACCGAGATTAAACGAGTTATTCCTATTTTGTGAGTAATATCCAACCTCACGTGTAGAAGGTGGACGCATGCCTTCACGTGGATAAGAAGCTTGAGAAAAGGCCGGACCACCTGGTGGACGAAAGAGAAACTCCTCCACCGCCCCACTTCCCGTGGTTGTTCCTACACGAGGTGCTCCCACAATAGGTGCCCACGACCCCGCCTCCTGTCGCGTGCATCTATACTTTGCCATATTCTGTTCTTCTTGCTGTTGCTGTTGTTGATATTGCTGTTGTTGATATCTTGTTGTCGTTGTTGTGGGCATCTGCAGGGCGAGAGTGTAGGCGGCTCCCGGAGTGAGATGGACGACGCCGTCGTCGTCGGGGAAAACAAACGCCTGACTGCCGTCGCAGGCCCGCAGACCGGCGAGACCACGCGGGAAGAGCACCAGCACTTGATTGCGGGCCATCACACACGGGACAGGCACCCCGTCAATTAGCGCCGTCTCCTCCATATTCCTCAACCACGAGAAGAGAAGAAAAAGAAAAAAGAAAAGGAAGAGGAAGGGAGAAAAAAAAAAAACTTTTCATAAAAGAAAAATACAAACAAACACACACGCACACAAAAAGAAAAGGTAGAACTGCGCAAAACCCGATAATGGAATAGAAAATAACAATAATAATAGTAATAATAATAAAAAAAAAAGAGAATAAGATAACAGACGGGTTGTTTTCCTTTTGTTATTAAGACAAAAGGTAAAAAAAATTGTTCTCTTAATCTTTTTTTTTCTTCTTTCATTCGTTACAAATATAATAATAAACACATGACCACAAAACACATCGACAGACGAATTGGAGCACTTCCTTTCACACTCCCCTAGACTTTTTCACAGTATAATTCTGTTAATAAATACATACTAACATAGTTATACTTGTACATAAAGGAAAAACACCAAAGGAAAAAAGTAACCGCTCTGGAAGAAAAAAAAAGAAAAAAAAATCTGACATTACACAGCAAGACTGAATATAAACATATATATATACACCATAAAATTATTTCTCATTTCCCTCAAAGAAAAAAAAAAAAAAACCATTCGAAAAAAAAAAAAATCCTCCCTCTCTATTTTTCTATGAAAAAAAAGGAGCAGAAACAAAATAAATAGAAACCTCAAATAAACAAAGAAAAGGAAAAGAAAAGCTACCAAAAAACAAAAATCGGGCATTGTAGCAACACAGAGGTTCAAAAAAAAAAGAAAAAAAAAAAACTGTCTTCCTCCGAACACTACACATATCACTACTAACAACCTTCTTTTTCCTTTCAAACCAAAAGCAAAAAAAAACAATATAAAAAAAAGCAATAACTAATAGCCTTCCTCATTGCCTGTTAACCAGGTATAACTTGTAACAAGAGACTTTTTCACATAAGCAACTAAAAAATGATATTTCCCCTTCACAACGCTGTTGTTGGCAAACAGGGCATTTAGCTGTGTGGCGAGGCGGTAGCCGGCAAGGGCGACTCGTGGTTCCGCTGTGGCCTTACACTGTGCGAGGTACGTCTCGTTCACTGTCACACCGTTGCTGATACCAGGGTACACCGCCTCCACAGCAGCGGTGTAGCTCTCATCAGCCATCACGGAGGCGTTCGTCTCGGCCTTCTGCTTCGCCGTGAACTTGTATGTATCCTCCAGGTAGTCGGCGAACTTCTTGATGTCTGCGTAGTCGGAGGACTTGAGCGGCCGCGGTGGATCCACTTGTGGGCCCTCGCAGATGGAGTCCCAGAGGGCGTGAAGCTTCATTTTGGATCCGTTGACGTATACTGTTTCAGTATTGCCACCACCGTCACCATTTGGGTACGCTGGTGAGTGCAATTCAGTGGCGTGCAGTGGCTGGTGGATGTCGCCGTAGAAGTGTACGAGATTGGCGATGGCAAAGCTGATCACATATTGCGGTAAAACCAATTTCTTGGGGTTTTCAAGAGTTTTCACCAACCCTTTAATTACGGTCAGCACATTCTCAGGTGACACTGGCCACTTCTTGATGGGAACATTCTGCGGATTGTATGGAGTATCGATGTAATGCCATTCCCCCATCACCCCAAGCCCCAACGACTTGACATCATCCGCCCAGCACGAAAGCTGAACAAAGTCTGGACTCTTTGGGAACGGGCCGCTCTTGCTGAGATCCGACGCCGCTGCCTCCACCAGAGCCGCAACGTTGGGCTCCAAGTGCCGCCGCGCGATCTCCGCCACCGCCATGTGGCCCTTGCACCACCACGCATGGGCCGGCGAGGAGAGAAGCACAAGACCCATCACAACAGCGAGGATGGGAAGTAGGGCAGTCTTCTGGGCAGTCATGGTGTGGAACACTCGGCTTGCTTATCTGCGATTGCTCCCCGGGAGTTGAATTGGTCTTGTCTTTCACTATTTCTTTCTTCTTATAAACACCTTCACTCCTTCGTAGGATAATAATCGAATTACCGTTGACACGGAGGGTAGCTCACACTGTTTCAGATAGAGATGGGTAAAAAAAGGAAAAAGGTGAAGTATACCTATATTCAACATGGTCGTCTTGGTGTTGGTTTCCATAATTCATGACAAATGAACCTCGGGTTTTTCTTATAAAAAAATAGGGAGAGTTTAAGAAGAGCTTGAACGATCCCAATTGTCTTATAATGGCAAATGATTAAAAAATGGGTTTCTTTAAAGGTTTTTCTTTTTTTTTTTTTTTCTAAAGGAAGACTTTTTATGGGATGTTCAATGGCAATAAGGTTTTTTTTTCGAAGGAGAAAAAGAGGCAAGTGAAATTAAAAAATTGTCTGGAAATGAGTAGACATACAGAAGCACACTTTTTTTTTTTTTTATTCTTTGTGTCCAAGGACCTGTATATATTCCCATATACAGGTCTCTTGCTGGATTGCCATGGAAGCACCTACGCGATTAAAGCTAATATTAGTAATTCCCTCTCCCTTCCCCTCTTCTCAAGAAAACACCTTATACGTACACAAGCGCAAAGGGGTATACCACAATAAATAAAAAAATACAAAAAAAAATTCCCAAAATTGTGGTAAAAGAATTAAAAAGTAGAGAACAACTTGACGAACGTATGTACGCATGCATAGAGTCGCAACAGAATGGGGAGGGGGTGGGGAATAAATAAGGAAAAAATGAATGTTTATTGCAGTTTTTTAATGAACCACAATAATAAACTGTATGAAACCATGTAGGGTATTGACGCAAAAAGGAGAAAACAAAACAAAAAAAAAAGTTTTGTGCTTAGCTTCAACTCTGAATGAGAGACATATCAGAGATATGCATGTATAATATATATATATATGAGTACCCTTATTCCTTTTATCTTTCTCTCCATGTTTTTACTCTACCAGTTGCGATCTACATCTGAATCGTAAGGAACATGATGTAAAATATCTTACCTATTGTTCGTCTTGTTTTCTTTTTTTTTTTTTTTTTTTTTGAGAGAGAGAGACATTAGTGACGTTCAGTGATACCAAACGTCGTTGCTGGGACGAAATTATCATCATAGACGATATTCATCTGCTGAAACATCATCCACACCTTTGTAATTCGCATAATGTCCATCTCTTCACGTCCCATAAAACGCAGCTCTCCCTTTGTGAGATATAACGCCCCCTTTTCATTAAGAGCCGGTGGATGAATGCCTTCTAAAATTGTTTGTGCTTTTTGTGCATCGTTTCCACATTGCTGAAGTACTTGTAATGTTCTTTCAGCCTTACGTTGAACCCGCTTCTTAAGCATAATATATTGCGATGGGTAAATATAATTGCTTTCGCACAGACTTGCCTCAAAACAATTAAGAGATTCAAAACCCTTTTCTCGTGTTATATCCAGTTTCCCACCCCAGACAGGATCTACACAAACCAGATTGGACAATCCCACAACCCACGCCTCAAAGTCTGGTACACTATCCGCTACGATATCAACTGTACGGCCACCATCCTTTAGTCCAATAGTAAAACTACGGAAGAAGACAGGGTCTCGTGGAGAAACTGGATGACGTTTAAATACTTTACTGAAGCTACCAAGTTGAATGTAGCTTACATCGCGGAAATCAATAGAAGATCTTTCAGAAGAGGCTTTAGCAGCAGGATCCATCCATAAAAGTTTACGTCGATTTTGAATTATAGAAACCCAGAAATGACGACGATGGGGTTTTCCACTTCTTCCATGCTTTAACATAACACTTCCACCTCGAAGGAATCGTATTAAATCTTGAACCAAAGATGGTGAATCATATACACGCATAAGATGTTGTTGATCTCCCTTTCGTCGAGGTTTAGGTGATTCTGTATTAGCATCTTGAGTGGAATTTTGCTCTCCAGCAGAACCTCCTTTAGTTAAATCTTTATGAGTATCATTTTCGTCCTCATCCATATGACTTTCTTCTCCATTATCGGTTGATCCTATTCTATTTCTTTGTGGATGATTTATTCTTTGTTTTTCTGCCTTTGCCCAGGCGTTTTCTTTAGGAGGTTGTGGGGTATCGGATGTCTGACTATAATCAAGAGAATCACCCTCATCAGCATTACTGTCTTCTCCTTCCATACCATTATTTTCAACAAAACGTCTACGAGTTTCCAAGGGATAATGCGAATTCTCCCCATCACTCTCATCAGAACTGAGAAACGTAACATTATGATAAATAGATGCGTCACATATTTCAGATTCATTCTTTACTTCCGTAATTAATGGTGGATACCATTGTTCTCCAGTTCGAAGGACACGACTAATACCATCAATATCATGCCATGAATATTTATGTAATGGGTCAATAACACCATCTGCAATATCAACTGCTCGATCAATAACAAAGTCAATGATGTCGTACACCAATGTACTTTCTGTTATTATGTCGGAACTTAATATTTTAACTCTTCGTACCTGAGATCTTTGTCTGTGTGTTGCTGCCAGACGTTGGACATAAAGACCATGAAGTTGGTTAAGCTCCGTTGAGTGATTATGAAATTCCCTGATAATTAAATCAATTAATTTATCTTGTTCATCTTTTTCATCAAAAATACCTTCGTCTAATTGTTGTTCATTTTTTTCTTCTTCTTCTTCTTGAAGAGGAATTTTACTCGCCTCTGTGAGTTGTTCTTCCTGTTGGATTAGTTCTTGTAATGCCACCTTATAATTCTCTATTTTTTCTTCTAATTTCACTCGATGTTTTTTGACTTTTTTAGCTTCCGCAACTTTTTCCTCTGTTTCTACCTCTTGTTGCTCTGTAAGACGTTTAAGACTCTTCTTTACTTTTTTTACTTCATGTGCTAATGCTTCATATTCTTCAATCATACTATTTGATTTTTCAACAAATGCAACCTCCATCTCTTCTTGTTCACGCGCTAATTTTAATTCAAGAGACTGTATATATTCAGCTTCTTTAATAGCTTCAATATTACTTGCATTTACACTAAGAGAATTTATAGCTTCACCACGGGCTTCTGTTAGACTGATACCTTTTATTTTTGCCATAATAGATGGTCGTTGTGGTTGATAATAAAACATAGCCCCTGCTATATGAAGATCTGCAAGTAATTCTTCCTGTATTCGCAGTGAACGTAAATAACGTTCTTCATCTTCAGGATTAAGAAATCCAACCACTTTCCCTGCTTTTAATCCCTTAACACGATCACAAAAACGAAGAGTTCCTTGTGATTCCTGTGCACTGCAGCTTGGTGGTGCTATTTGTCCAATAAGAAGAAGACGTGAGGTGCGATCTACAAACGATGGCTTCAGTAATTTAGTTAATTTGGAATCTCGAAATGGAATATGAACATTTTCAACATACATCGCATTAATAGTAGTTCCCAATGCGGATAGTGACTTGTTAATGGCCTGTGCTTCTATCATGGCTTGTCCCTCCACACCTGACCGCTTTACTCTTTCACTTCCAGCCAAATCTACCAAGGCAATACGTGATCGTACAAGTCCATTAACACTTCCATTGATTGGAATACCATTCACATCAATTAATTGCTCTCGTGATGGACGTTGAGGACAAACATTAATAGGAACTTGAAAGATATCAATAAAAAAGAGAGCATGTGAACGAGAACTGGAATCATTCATTTTTGTTGAGGTAACCGAACGGTAGGCATTGGCTATATTAAAACCCTGCACCACATCTTCCATAGTTTCAACCTCAAGGGTATTTATACCTGGTGTAAGTGTTTCCTCTGGGGTATCACGCAATTTAATTTTCTTTCGTTGTGAAAGTAAATCCATCACATCCTCTATATAAAGTTCTACCGCTGAAAGAAAAATATTTATATGTAACTCCTTCTCCACCGCTTTTCTGTAGGAAAACAGATCATGAAAAACACGAAGGAATATACCAGACTCCGGTGTTAATTCCCCATGCGACATACTACCAAGAATTGTATACGTCTTACCACTACCGGTTTGTCCATATGTGAGAACCGTCACGTTGGCTCCCTCCAGTGCGTGGTCTACAAGTTCCTGCACGGACTGTTCATATACAGATTGTTGATCATCCTCTCCATCGTAGACATCATCAAATTGAAAAGTCACAGGTTCACCTATGGCTTCTTCGTTTTTAATAATAACTGTTTGACCATCATTTGCCTTACGGGCACATAAAGGCTCATACCGTTCTTTTTCTAATGGTGGTCGAATACGAACGGCTACTGTTATCCGTTGTTCCATTGTAACTAGAGGTTAGATTACTTTGGTGCTGCGATCTATTATGATGATAATAATAATAACAATAACAAGCCGGGGGTGTGGAAATCACTTACGTTCGAGTATATGATATCCTTACTCCCTAAAGAATTTGAAAAAAAAAAAACAACAACACGTAATTTCACCAAAAAAAAAACAGTCAAAATATATCGTTTCCTTATGCTTTTGAACGAATTTATATATATATATATATATAAATATATATATCTTTTCTTTACTTGTATGGGCTTGAGAGTAGAAATATATTGTTTCTATAGTGTGTTTTTTTCTTTTCTTTTTCTTTCTTTCTGTGAGAGTAAAATGCAATCTCCCAAACACAGTGAAAATAAATCAATAAAAAAAAAAGAGGGATTCTTATTTGCAGAAAAATTTTTATTCTCTTGGTGTGTGAGTGTGTGATTTTTTTTTTTTTTTTTCCTTCGCAACTAAAACAAAAATAAAAACAAAAAAAAAAAGAACAAGGACAAGAATAACTATATATTTACTTATTTGTATATATATAAATATATATTTATTGATCCAAATGTATGTAGGTACCTCCTAAGATGCTTTTTGCCTAATAATCAATTTTGTTTCTTTTTTTTTTTTATTTTCATCCAGAAGAAAAAAAAAAAGAATAATAATAATATTAATATTTATTGAGAGAGAGACATATACAGAGAACCCCAAAAAAGGAATACATAAACAACAACATCATGTGAAATATAGAATAGATTAATTAGTCAAAAAGGACATTTTTTTTTTTTTTAATTCTCTGTTTTGGAGATAATTCTATCATCTTGAAGATATTCATTCATTCACTCATAGGAAAAGCAGATAACAGTGAATGATAGGAGGGAAATAAAATAAAAAAAAAAAATAATGAAAGGAGATGTAATTAGATGTTGAACTATTTCTGTGAGGAATGAGGGTAACTGCAAAAAAAAAAAAATAAATAAATAAATAAATAATAATAAAATTGAAATTAATTGTGAAGATAAGAATTACACAGAAGATGATACTGTCATTCTTCTTTCTCTGTTTAACAACTCTGTGAGCTGCTCTGGTGTAATGTGAACTTCATCCACATTAATGAGAATAGATTTCATACTATTAGATCTCCAACTGTAGTGTACTTGAGCCTCCACACCCGTAATGTTATTTTCTTTTCTTCCACGTATTTTTTTCTCCTGCACAAGTGAGGCGCAGAGCCACGTGTTGTTTGTATATTTCATCGTAAGAGCAAAGACGGCAAGGCGGAGTGTAGTGGCCGCATCTACATAAGCCACACCCTGCGTTAATAGACAAATTGGTTTGTATGCAATGAGATCTAATAATGGATCCCGCGTTAACAGAGAGGCGGCATTTACAATAATTCGACTGCTTTCATTGGAGGGTTTATTCTTTATATTCATATATGGTGGGAATCTTATTTCAGTTGGTGGAACTTCAATAGCGACAGCATGACTCTGCACAGACCATCCCGCTGTTTCAATTAACTCTACATCTAACCAAAGATTACTGGGAGTTTCCATCTTTTCTTCTTTTTCTTTTTCTTTTTGTTCTTCTTCTTCTTCTTGTTGTTTATATGAGGAAGAGAGATCAGTCTTGTCATTTCTTAATGGCATCAAAGAAGAAGAAGAAATGATATTACAAGTATGATTTCTCATATCCGAAAAGGCTCTTGTGAGTTTTTCTGAGAAATCCCAAGAGAAATACTGAACTCCACCAGTCGAAAGATATTGATGACGTCGTTGTGGAATACATGAAAGGGCATTAAACCGAGAGGCATCTGTTGTTTGCTCGGCGTTAATAAAACATTGTGCACTTCCGCCTTTAAGATAAACAGGTGTTGTTTTTGCTGCTATAGATATACCTGGCCAACGTTTTTCTAATTTCTCCATATTTAACCAATATGGAGAAGAGAAGAAGAAGTGAGAAGGATATTGTTTTGTATAGATTCCCTTAGTGGAATGGGATGGAAACTCTCTGCTTATTAAGGCCCACAACACTTCTCCCGTCTCATCTACAGGGATTTGATAAGAAACACAAGTGGTGGAATCCACAATGGAGGAAAGAGAAGTATCGGCGGTATTCACATAAGTAGATCCAAACACATGAACAGCTCGATTCCAATTAAAGGAAAAATATGTTCCTTCACGTTTACTTATGGAGGTTGTATGGTTAGATGTAAACATTGCCTGACTGTTCATAGAAGAATAAGATGTATGGATAGATGTTGGGTTTTCTTGTGTTAATTTATTCCATAAATATCGAGCTATTTTAGCAGATATCCAAAACGGTGAAGGATCTGCACAGACGGGTGTTGTTGTTGTTGTTGATTGAACGGTCTGTTCAGATGCAGTGTGCCATTCACGCAGTTTGCGCAGGACCACCCAATCCACTGCTGTCGGTAATACACAATTGCTGATGGAAAGACGCGGCTGTTGAAGAGTCATTACTATTTTTTGTTTATTGTTTATTATTTACATTACAATCACCACAGAGATAAATAGATAAATAGATATAGAGATAGAGAGTCAATATTAGAAATCCACCCCCCAAACAACAACAATAGCAACAATAGTAACAACGGATGAAAAAGGATGTGAGATTAGGAAGAAAAAATGAAAAAGAGAAAAGAAAATGAGAGAACAAACAAAGGATAGCGCGAACAGTTTTTTTCTTTTTTAATTTCTTTCCTTCTTTAACGCAGATTCTATACACACACAAAAACAAAAAAGAAAAGGAATCAAATCATTATCTGCAAATATCGTTACGTACAATGTTCTTGAAAATCCAGCCATAGTATTGGGAAACAGAAAAACAAAAAAAAAAAAGTAAATATCATGATGATAAATCATTCATAAAATAATGCATTCTCTTTTCTTTTACTTCTCACATTGACCTATACTACCTCTTTCTTCCCATATACATATATATATATATACATATATATTCATTCTCTTTTCTTTTTCTTTCTCTTTAGTTTGTCCATCACATATAATCATACACCATGGCATTCCCATCATCACCGGCGGCCACTAAATGTGTGGGTGTTGCCGCAATTTCCCGCACAGCCGCAGTGTTCGCGCCAAGACCATAACAACAATTCCCTGTCATTGTATCATGCACCAACAGCCATCCATTTCCCCCGCCGGATAGTATCAACGGCCCAAATGTCTCCAGGGAATAAATAAAATCCCGGTGATCTGTAAAGCGATGGAGTGGGGCAAATCCCGCCCGTGGATCTAATGTAAGAATAACTTTATCCGCCCCTGCGGTGATGAGATACGGCGTCTCATCCACCGAGCGAATAGCACTCACGACCCCGCCGGGATGCAGCACATCTTGATAAATAGGTTTACTGCCTGTGCGTGGATAGTCCAAGACCGTCAGCACACCGCCCTGATCGCCAATCGCGGAGAGTAAACCGACGCTGCTGCTGAGAAGATGCCAAAGTGATCCAATCTGCCCTCGCTTGGTGGCCATTGTGGAAAGACACTCCCCCGTCTCTACATCCCACACTTTGGTGGTGCCCTGTCGATCTCCCGATAAGACTTGACCGCCACACCAGGAGAACATCATCACTGGGGCTTTGTGGCCAGCAAAGGTCGCCACACACCGCCCAGAAACTCCACCACTGCAATCCCATAAACGTAAAGTGCGATCGTAACTACTACTCATCACTAATTGATTACTTTCATTTACTTCCACTTGACTAATACTTCCTGTATGGCCTAACAGATCACTGCAGCGTACAGGCCCAGTGGCCGACCATAAACATAATTTACTATCCATTCCACCAGAGATTACGTGTCCACTACTCTGAAAGAATTTACAGCACGTTACCCACTCTGTATGCCCGTAGTTTTTAGTGTAAAGATTTCGTTTCTCTCTTACTGTAGTGATATCAAAGACTTTAAGACCATGATCTGCAGATCCCACCACACATAAATTATTTTGTGTATGAACATCCATACAAAGCAGATTACGATCACTGGCATTAAAAGAACGCCCGGCTGTATCCACAGGTCCACTACGCCAACTCCTCGGCACCGCAGAGGCATTAAATGAAGTTCTGAAACGTGCGTAAACTCCTCCTCCTCCTGATAGAGATAAGGAATTATTTCCCCGTTGTTGTTGTTGTGATAGTCGTTGTTGTGTTGGTGCTGGTGGTGGTGGTTGAGTGACTCCGCCGCCGTAGACTTCATCCATGAGATCTTCCATCGCAGTGGCGATTTGTCGTCCACGCACACTTCGTGGATTTGTGCCATCGTTCTTATGTAATTCCCGCACAACGTTGCTTGGCCGCGAGAGACCCGTGCGTGTCACTATTGAGTTTTGTGTACTGCGGCCGCGGCCAGGACTCACCGTTCGTCGCTGCATCTCTTTCAATGATTATATATATATATATATATATATATATATAATATTTTTGTTTGTTTATATATTCCTATCTGAGTTGTTGTTTTTTTTGTTTCTTTCTTTATCTTCTACTATAGAATGGAGTAAAGGGAATAAAGTAAGAGAAAGAGAGAGAGAGAGAGAGAGATGATAATAAGAAGTAGAAGCGCATACTTGTTTTTTTTTTTTTTTGCGTTTTATTCTTAAAAAGGAAAAAAAAAAAATCATCACTTTATCACAGAAATCAAAAATCATTGGTTTGTCTTCCACCTTCACATCTTTTATTGTAAATTCATTCATCCTATTTTCTCAGATAGTATAAGNATATATATATATATATATATATATATATATATATATTTATATATACTAAAGAAAGAGAAATAGTGAAAGGGAGAACACAAAGTGATAAAAATAAGTTCAACAACAAAAATAAGGAAAACGAAAAGAAAAAAAAAAGAAAAACCATCAAAGATAAACGAAGGAAAAATATTAAAAAAACATAATTTTGAAGAACATCCCTTCGATGATGTCCTTTTTTTTTTTTTCTTATGTGAGGTTATGACCTTTATAGTGATTGCCGTGTGATGTTTTTTTTTTTTTTTTTTCGTTCCTTTCTTTCATTAAACTGGCCTCTCCTATCTAAGTCTGTTAATACTTTATAGAACATCTTTTCTTTTTTTTTCTTTTCTCGTTTTTTTTTAATTTATTTTTCTTTTCTTTTCTCTTTTCATTCTATTTTTTCTTTTTCTCTCTCTTTAATTTAAACCTATAAATAGAGAAGCAGTAAAAGAACAGCAGCCGCAGTTTCATATATACACATTACAGGTGTACATACAGAGAGAGAGAGAGAGAGACAGTGAACTCCCCCACCAATTTTTAATATTTTATTTATTTCTCTAAATCTCCTCTCCTTTTCTTTTTCTTTTTTTTCCTTTTCTTTTCGTTTGCTTGATAGTCTTTACAACAGCAACAATTGAAGTTCACCTCAGGGTCATCTAAAGAAAAAAAAAAAAAAAACATGGACCAAACAATAAAGGTGAAAAAAAGGAAAAAGGAAAAAAAAACAAATAATGGAGAACAAAATAAAAAGAAACAAAAGAAAAAAAGGGGAGTGTGTCCGGTAATTTTTTTCAGGATTAAAAACATCTAGTAGTGTGCTTCTATTTTTTTTTTTTTGTTGTTGTTGTTGCATCTTCAAATGAGTGAATCTAATGAGAGGGGAGTAGTTCTCTTTTTCTTTTTTTTTTTTTTATTCGTTTTGCGTGTATATATATATATGTATGTATGTATATATGTATATATGAAGAGAGAGAAAGAGAGAGAAATGGGAAGGTGAATCTGAACACCAACACCGCTTTCTCACTCAAATCTTTGTAAAGAATCATGAAATAGGCATGGTCGACTATACATCTATCTATATATATATAGTTATAGTTATAGTGTGTGTATATACTTTTTTTTTTTATAAAGAAATAAATCATAGTCGTTCATACCTATTCCCAATCTTCACTTTCTCTTTTTTTTTTTTCTTTTTCTATGCTATAAATCTCAGATACATCTTTAATTTATAAATTTTTTTTTTGTTTGAACGTTTTCACATCATACATTCCAAAAGCTAATCTCCCTTTAATATAGTTGTATATAACTTTATTTTTTTTTCTTTTTTTTTTTCGTTTCTTTCTTTTTCCCTCTCACTCTTACAAGCACACAAATATATATATATATATATATATATACTGAAAAGTACATCTAGGTATATACACAGGAACCAAGTATTAAATAATAATAATAATAATAATAATAATAATAATAATAATAAGAACAAAATCAAAAACAATACATACAATCTATATATATATATATTGTACGCAGGTGCTTCTATATAGGACAGATGAATCATAGGGAAAAAAGGGACCAAAACATCAGAAAAAAAACAAACAAAGAAATAAAGAATCCTCCGTTTTTCTTCATCTCAGAGTTGTTGCTGGTTTTCATTCGTTTTAACAGTTTATAATTGATTATTTCTTTTGGTTCTAGTCACTTTCCCCTTACCCCACTTATTCATCCTCAAATCTTTCTTCATTTAAAAATAATAATAAAAAAAAAAAAAAAACAATATCTATCCTTTTTTATTATTTTTATTTTTTATTTCATAGTATTCTTTCCTTCTTTCTTTCTTTCACTCTATGATGTGATGAAGCCTCTCTCTCTTTCTTTCTTTCTTTCTCTCCTTCTACTCACTGCTGGTGATGGTCTTTAGATAGACTTTACTCTGCAGTCTGAACTGCAGCATCCGCATAAGCCGCGAGACATTCGGCTGCCCGCTCGTCCCCTCCTGCGGCTGAATGGAGTAATAGACAACGGAGATGCTGCGGTCAAAGGTGCAGTACACATCCACCAACTCAAACGGCAAATTGAGAAAACGAAAGTGTTTGCGACACTCCGCCAATGCCACCGCACGTGTTTCCTCCAATTCCCGCATTCGCACGGCATCAGCGGCCACCAACTCTCGCACAATATATCCATCGTAAATCCCCTTCTCATCATACATCGCCGTCTCTACTGGAGAGGCATAGGCGTGGTGTCGTTGGACCTGCACACACACACCCGCATCTTCATAAGCCACATTATCATATGGACTACGACTGCTCCGCACAGATGCAATGTAATGTCGACCAACAACCGGCACACAACGAGCGGTATTCGCTTTAAAACGCATCTGCACACCACGGGCAAATTCAAGAATAACAGTTTCATGTTGGCGGCTCGGTGGACGTCTTTTCATAGCTTGTGTAGATGAAGCCACAGGAGCCATCATATTAGTGGAGGAGGATGATGATGATACCATCTTCACAGCCGCAGGCATAGGACGAGCAGAAGGAATAAGTGGAGCAGAAACACCAGTCTTGTTTGCTGTAAAAGTAACATCTTTACCATTATTACTCATTTGCTCTGGTGTGGAAGGGCGAAGAAGAATGTGTAATTTATCTATAGGCACTCGCCTTCCACCTACAGCAATTAATGGGGCTGTTTTGCTAACCACACGTGTTACTGTGTTTTGCGTCTCATTGCGTGGATACTCCGGTGGAGGAACATCATGTGGCATCATTGCATAATGTGCAACCGGCTGCGGAGGGGCAAATAAAAGTGGAACGGGAGCCACAGAATGTGTTTTCTGCTGAGGGAGTACTTGTTGTTGTTGTTGTTGTTGATGATGATGTTGGAATAGAAGTGTTTGCTCTTGTAGTCCTTGTGATGATGGAGATTGGGATGAAATGGGAACTATATGATGATTGACATTCGTCCTGTATACGTTTTCACCCGTGCGAGGTCTCTTCCCCGTCTGTACCTCCAATTCACTTTCATTATCATCATCGCTATCCAACAATACACTCCTTGGTAGGAGAATGGACTCCAAACTCATATTGGGGCTATGGGGATTATGCCCTATTGGTGCACACTCCTGAAATAATTCACTCAATTTGATTGGTTGAGTAGGAACAGTATCCATACGAGCGGCAGCAGCAGCATTCATCGTATTACTGTTATTACTATTATTAACAGTATTACTATTAATAGTATTATTAGTTGCTGTGGTGGTGGTGGTGGTGATAACGGCTACTGCATCTGCAGCCCCAATAATAGTGGGAAGAGCAGCCACATTACATTGTTTATCGGGTGTATAAAAGAAACTGCTGTTCTTTGAATCCCGCACATCACTTTCTGCCAATAGTGATAAATCCGTTGTATTAACATGATAGTATGAATTACCACCACTACGTGATTGGCGAACAGGATTGTTGCCTGGCGTTAATCCTGTATGGTGTGAGCGATGACGATTCATCACAGGAGTGTAACAATCCCCCATGAGTGATGTGTTGATGTGTTGATTTGATGGTTGCGAGGTACAATTAACACTTCTCATCCCACTTCTTACACCACACTCATCATGATGATTACAATTTTGGTTCATTCCACCAGAAGAGAGTCTCCCAAGAAGTGCAGGATTAATATTTTCCTTATTCTCCTGTATTAACATACTATTATTGGTGATATCCTGCAAGAATGAAGGAAATACATTAAAGCACGTCGTAGATGATTGTTGATGCATCGCACTTCAAGATGTTTTAACTTTTTCCGTTTTCTTTCTTTTTTTTCTTTCTCTCTTCTCTTTTCTATAATATTTCTTTCGTTCTTTCTTCTTTTAATTGATCTTGTTTGTATAAATTTATGAATGCGTGTAAAAACAAATATATATATAAATATATAACTGTAGGTGGGGGTATAATCTAAAAATTTCCTCTCGGCTACGTTGCAGTAGGAGGAATAATTCCTATTTAATGGCGATCACAAACAAAATTAGAAAGAAAAGAAAAAAAAAAGAAAAGAAAAAGAACAAAATATCTTCAATAAAATGAAAGGACACAGAAATATAAAAAAGACATAAAGAGAGCGGCAGCAATACCACCACCCACTCATCTCCCCAGAAAAAAAAAAAATGGGGAAAAAAAGAAGAAAAAACTAACATGTAGAACTTTTTCGTTCCTTTAACTGTTATTCTTTCTATTCTCACACTTTTTTTTTTCTCTTCCTATTTGTTCTTCTCAGGGGAGCCTTTTTTTTTTTTTCCTTTTTTTTTAAGACTTGCGTTTCGTTGTTTTTTTTTTTTATATATTTCTTTTTTTTCTTTTCTTGTCATTTTCCCTTAACTACTTCTTTTCAAATAAACAAATATGCATACACAGGTGAAGGTCGAGCAGAAACCGTCAGGAAACCCAAAGTAGAAGAGAACAATAATAATAAAGTTCAAACAATTCCTTCTTCTTATTCTTTTTTCTTCGTCTTCTTCTGATTGAACTATTACTATTTACCCCTTCAGTCAAAGAGGCCATTGCTCATTCCCTGTTTAATTTGACGGCGTATCTTCTGCTTCTGCCGGCCCTTCTGCACATTACGATGAAGGCCTTTATTGAACTGATGATTGTCTCTCTGGCGGAGATCACGCCGCACCTGTGAGCGTACGTAGGCCTCATTTACACCGCCATTTGCCGTGAAATTGGCATTTTGTTGTCGACGTTGAATGACGGCTTTAGCAATATCTTCATCCAGAGATCCCATCTCACTTCCGCTTTCATCTTCTTCATCTTCATCTTCTTCATCTTCATGATTATTGTTTTCGTGATCCTTTTCATTTTCTTTTCCTCCCTTGTCATGTGAAACAGTGTTGGTGGTAGTAATATCGGCTACTACTTCATTTTCTTCCTGTTTCACTTCATTGGTCACTACTAATTCTTCTTCTTCTTTTCCTTCTTCTTTATCCTCTTCCTCTTGTTCCTCATCTTCCTCGTCGCTTTCGTCGTTGTGAGCATCTTGGTCTTGCATTAACCGTTCAAGCTCCTGTTGTTGCCTATTTGTAAAGTATCCACTTGCAAAAACCTCCTTATCCAAATCTGCCTTTCGTTTAACATCCTTCTCAAGTGTAGGATAGTATAGTGTAGTTAACTTAAATCGTCTGTGGAAAAAGTTAGCGAGGTTCTCCACATCACGGTAGAAGAGTTCTGCAGCGTTTAGATGATTTATAGAAACCATTTGTGGGAAATCAATGACAATAACCTTCATTTCCTCTGTGACCAAAATATTAAACTCATTAAAGTCACCATGGACAAGACCATGTTCTGCTAAACGTACGAGGAGTTCAAGTGCACGTTTATACACCAATGCTGGATCTCCGAGAGTGGTAATGTTGTTAAGTGTAACTCCGTTTACGAGTTCCATCACAATAGCGTGTCTGTTGTGTGCGATGGGGGCTGGCACTGGCAGTCCGGCTGCATGTAGTGCCGTGAGACAGGCAAACTCCTTCGCTGCTGCGAGTCTTGAGAGAAAGAACCAACTCGCCCCTCTTCGCCGCCGACCGCCGCCTTTGTAGTCACGATGCCGCGTTACACTTCGAAAGCTGCAGCGGCCGAGTCGCTGGAGTTTCAACACACACTCGCGGCCGGCGCCGTCGGAGGCGAGCAGAATGTCGGACTCCTTCCCGCAGCCAATGCGGTGGGCGACGGCCTCCAGCGCCCCGCGGCGGTGTAATGTGTGCAGCGCGAGGGCATCGTAGGCGCCGTACTTCATCGCGTACCCGTCGTAGGCGGTGTTCTCGTGGTGGATGAGTTTCTGGCGGAGCAGCAGCTGCAGGCGCTTGCGGCAGCCGCCGTGCGGGAGTTGGGCGATGCGCTCAATGAGAACCGTCGGCGCCACGTCGTGGTTGCGCATCGTCATCTCGAGCGCCGTCAGCGCGCGGTAGTCCTCGTCCTCGAGATAGCGCAGCAGGGAGACATCAAGCTTCACCATCTCCACAAGGCTACACTATGAAAGAAAAGAGAAGAAAAGAAGAGAGGAGAGAGAAAAGTATAAAGAGAAAGAATAAGAGAGATAAGATGAGAACAAATGGGAGTGGGGTAGTGGTGGTATGGCACTTACAAAAAAATGAAGGAGTCTCTTACCAAGTTGTATATAAAAATATATATAAGGAGTGACGTGAGAGTTCACTTCTGAATTGAATATGAAAAAAAAAAAAAAGAAATGTGTGTGAGGATGAACAAAAAAAAAAAAAAACAATACCCAAAGAAAAGATAAAACAATAAAAAAAAGATGAAAAGACGAAAAAAGACACACACAGATACATACACACATATGCAAGTGCAAAGAGAAAAGGGAGAATAATACAATATAATATAATATAATATAATAAAAAGAAAAAAAAAAGAGGGTGATAATTAATATAATGATAAATAAATGTGAAGCAGCGCAATAAAAACTAAAAGATATGCAATAACTTCTTTTTCATCGAGTTACAAAATTTCATATAGATATATATATATATACTTTTTTTCTTTTTTATTACTATGCAAGATGACTTAAAGTGTTGTTGTACAATTTCTGCATAACAATACCCTGAGAAATAAGTGCACTAATATCTTTATCACTTATTTCCTCCGTAGGTAAATTTTGTAAAAACTTCATCGCAACACCATAGTCATTTTCTTTACAAAGTGCAGGAGACCACCAAACTAAAAGAGCAGCACAAACATACACATGTGTGGTACACCAATCTTTTTCTTGATCTGCAAGATATACATCCCATAATCGTAGTGATTGAGTAGCGTTAAGTTCACGTAAAAGCATACAATTCATCCATCGAAATGCAAATTGACTAAAACTAATTTGCAAATTTTCACAAAGATGTTTATAAAGTTTCCCATCTACAGCCTTTGCCACCGCTTCAAGTTTCTCCACCATACTGTAAATACCCTTTTGATTGTATGTATAATTTTCCTGTACAGAGTTTAGAAGGTATGAAAACATCCAATATGTATCAGCTTCAATAGTAGAGTTCCATTCTTCTTCAGTAACTACTATAGGGGAAAAAAGTGCATTCAACTCATTTTCTGTTAGTGTGTGTAATTCTGAAACTGTCTTTGAGGGGCAAAATCGACTTGCCAGCACCACACTAATAAAGGGAATTACAAGATCATTCAATCCCTGCACATATCCACATGCAGGATGCCGTAAGGACCAAATATAGAGAATACGTTCAATAGTTAACATTACACGACTGTGATGAAGATAGGCCACTCCAGCAGACATACGTGGTACATCTTTACGAATTTGTTTAAGCATAAGAAGTTCAGATTCAACAGCATAATTGGCTGAGACAATCGGTTGTCCCTGACGTTCACTATAAGATGCCAACTTGGAATTTCCACCTCTTCCCACACCTTCTCGATTGCATGAAGGATTTGGATTTGTTGCCTCATCTGCTGCCCTAAATGCCGCATTCCAATCAACCGCACCATAACTGCTTTGTACATAGCCTAAATATTCCTGTCGTTTACGTGCAAGAACGGCTGCTCGGCTGGATGCAAATGGTTGTAAATTCCCCGTTAAATATCCCCAAACTTCACAGCGAAACGCCGGTGGACAACCACGTCGACACAAACTACACAATTCATCAAGTGGTACTGGATCTTGCTCTAGCAGTTCTCGCAGTGCCGCTTCACTGTAGAGTGACTCCTCTTCTGGCAGTGCGGTTGCCTTCTTGGTGACGGTGTTATTGGTGCTGCCGCAGTCCATGCAGGCGACGGCGGGGACCTGCAGGCCTTGAATGGGCATCTTTCGCCGGGCCGCGTCGTCCTCCTGCTCGGGGCTGACGGAGGTGAGGCGGCGGAGGAGACCCCGCTTGACACGCTCAAACATCCAGAGTGGGTATATATATATATATATATATATATATATATATATATATGTGTATATGTATATATATATATATATAGGTGGGAACTGTATGTGTTCTGGGGGATACCTTATTATTATTTTTTTTTTTGTTTTTTGTTTTGATTCGACTACTTTATCTTTTTTTTTTTTTTCTCACTTCTTTTCGTCCTTTCTGGGCTTGAGGGTGTAGAGGGTGAGAGAAGGAGAAAGAAGAATCACAGATTTAAAGAATGACAGTTTAGTATACAGACTGAGGATAGAGAGAGTGAGAGAGAGAGAGAGGAAAAGGAGTAGATAAAAGCGAAAAAAAAAAAGATAAGAAGTAAAAGCCCTAACGATATTTAAAAAATAATAAAAGAATAATATGAATATGATCCACGTAGATACAGAGAGTAATTACAGCGATAGATAGAGAATAAAGTATACACTACTGATTACAAGAATCACCTAGTCCACAGAATAAAAAATATATTTATATAAAGTAAATAATAATAAAGAACGATAACTATAATTAAAGAAAACATTTAATTTACTCTTTTCATTCCTTTTGAGTAGGAACTATTTAAAAATAATGTATTAGGCGACAATACCCCAGGTCGTACATATTCAGAGGATAAAGAAGTAGAAAGACATTCACCAAGAAGTGTCTTTGCAGGGAATATTCCTTCTTTACACCATACTTTACAAGAAGAATTTTCTTTCTTGTGTATATCTAATATTGTCATTCCTCCTTTCCAAGGAACTTTCTCAAGTCCAAAAGTTGAAGTTACCCCAATAGTATAGGAATACTTCCTCCTATCTCTTTTATCATTCCCCAACACTTCTTCTTCCTCTTCTTTTTCTTCTTCTTCACGGACTGCTGTAGAGCCCAGTAAAGATGGTGTGGAGTGATTTCCATTAAAAACGGAAACTGAAAAAAAAGTGGGTTTCTGTTGCAATTTGTTAGCGTGAAATGGAATCGAATGAGAAGAAGAAGAAAAAGATGATGATGATAATGATATCTTCTCTTGTAGATTTAACTGAATTCTCTGCTCAATGGAGGATGTAGAGGAATGACTAGAAGAATGGAGTGGAGAGTTCATTGTACAACTGGCATTACTGTTAGAAAGTGAGGAGTTTTGTAGGGCCAACAGTGAAGTCTTATCTGTCCTTTCAACTTTACTCGTATTTTCCTCACATGTATCTTTAGATAAGAGTGTGATTACATGTGGATGAACAGAGAGGATGGATCTCTCATTTAATTTACTCTCGTGTAATTCCTCTACATCTGCCATTGTAGTAGTAACAGATGATGATGATGATGATGTTTTTCTTTCTGTTGTGAGTGCATACTCCTCAGTGATGTCTTTCTTCTCTCCTTCGCCATTAACATCACCCATTCCTTCATCAACACTATCATTACTCTTATTATTATCACCATTACTATTATTATTATTATTATTATTATTATTATTATTATTAACATTAACGAACTTTTCTTTTTCGTTCTGCGCACGCAATAACAACTGACGTGCCGCTAAACGGGAAACACCAACACCAGGTACCATTACAACGTACTTACCTTCTTTTTCCCTGTATTTTCACTAATAGAAACCTTCAGCTACTTTACTTTTTTCTTTTTTTTTTCTTTTGTACAAATACAAGCGAAGTGAAAAAATGGGAAAAAAGAAAAATAATAAGAATAATAATAATGATAATAATAACAATGAAATAGAAAACATACAACAGGTGATGAAACAAAGAAAGAAAGGAAGAAAGAGTTCTTTCTTTTTTTTTTTTTTTTTTTTTGGTAATAATGTACAAATCCTCATGGAAAAAAGGAAGAAATGACATCATATTAGTATAATTAATCGAATAACAATAATAATAATAATAATAATAATAATAATAATAATAATAATAGTAATAATAATAAATATTCCTATCAACGCTTAGAACCTTTCTTCTTTCCAAAAAGTGCCGCATTTCGCATTTCATCAAACCTCTGAAGTTTATTCATTGGTTTCTTTATCTCTTGCCGTGGTTGCTCTACTATTGTTTTGGGAGTTGTGGACTCATTATCTTCACGCTTCTGAACCTTTTGCTCTCTTTCATCTTCACAACTCTTTCGTTGTGTTTGCACTGCAGTAGATATACCGTGTCCCTTATTATTATTATTATTATTATTATTATTATTATTATCCCGCTTACGTTTATTAGATGCATACTTTGTATCCTGCACATCCTCCTGTTCATCCTTATTCGTTTGGCGTTCTTTAGATCTAAATCCCACTCCCTTCTCATCTCTTTTATTCTCTGAGACTTCCATGTGTTTTCCATTACGGCGATGAGCACCACGGGGGACCACACGCTGCAGTGCACTCTTCTCCCACGCTGCGAGAGCCACAGGCAATCCATCAGACGCGGAAGTATGAGAGGCACTCATGGCGGAAACTCCACTGTTTCCATCCCCTATTGTATTTGTATTTATATATTCTTCTGTATTATTATTATTATTGTTGTTGTTAAGACCGTAAATACGCTCCGCCTCTTCCTGTTGTGCTCGACGTTCCTTGGCGGTGAGTGTGTGGGCGCCCACACCTGCACGACTCCACGGCCGGCCATTGTCGTCACTGTCGTCCTCCTCACCTTCTCTTCTCTGAGTGTAATTACTCTGCGCAGTTTCTGTTCGGCGAATGGCGCGGGCTTTGTTGTTACTATGAAAGGCACTTCCGGCGTGTCGCTCCGCCATCGCTGCGAGATCGGATTGAATACTGAACGGACATCGCAGATAACCGCCGCGATGAGACCGCACCGGCTGCTGCAGTGTAGAGGTGTGCGTAGAGTTGTTTCTCCCACTACTCATAATTCCCCAGTCTTGTCCTTTATACATGGAGAGAGAAAGAGAAAAGAGAAAAAGAAAAGAGTTATCATGAGATGAAGAAAAGCAAGAATAATGATAAAAAAAATAATGTACAGAATGGAAAGAAATATCCTTTATTTTTTCCTTCTTTTTCACTCTCTCTCTCTCCCCCACCCCCGCCCCCCTTTTTTTTTTTTTTTTTAAATCTCCAGAGTTTATTCAATGTGTACTCTACACACTATCATCGATATATTTTTCTCTTTCCTTCAATGCAAACAGCTCCGCAGCGATTCCCTCCCACCGCAGGGCACTTCCCCGCCAAAAACTACACAATCCCCGTGCTGTACGGTCTAATATCATCACCGCAGAAGGCCAATGCTCCAATCCACCAAATATATGCGTTGCATACATTACCGTCACCCCACGGTGTATACTCTCACTGTAGAGAAAAGAAAGTAACGCATGACGCTGATCAAGATCGAGATCGGAGGTGGCCTCATCGAGAAGTACAATGGGTTTATCCTCTACAAGATGTAATAACAACTGTACACGCTTCTGTTCACCAGATGAGATACGGCGAATATCCCAATTCATATCCACATCTAATAATTCTCGAAGCATTTTGGCTCGTTCTGTATGCAATTCTAATAATTCTCGCACGTACATTTCACCAGGCGGTGCGGTACTCCACCAATCACCTCCAAGTGCTACAAAAGCATTTAGTGACATATCTTCATAACAAGCTTTTCCAAGTACACATAATGCCTTATTGCGATTATTAAAAAACTGTTTTCCTCCTATCATGTTTAATAAGGTGGATTTTCCAGATCCATTACATCCACATAATAATACACGTTCTCCTTTAAACACATTAAACGTTAAACCAGAAAAGATATTCTTGTAATCTAATTGATTACATACAATAACAGGTTCTTTCTCTGTTATTGAAGTAATTAATAAATCATTTTTGGTATTATCCTTTTCACTTGATATAATGTTAAAACTTTCACCATTAAGAGGTATTTTTCGGTTTCTTGTAAGAAATCTATGGGCAAATACTTCCAATGGTTCCCTTACTTCTTCTATCTTTTTAAAATCTACAAGATGACCATCTTGCATTAAAAGAATATGGGTTGCCCAATCCTTAACCCCATCAAGAATATGAGTTGCGTAAAGACAACAACCTCCTTCATTATCTTCACATTCTGATCTAATAAGATCAAGTACAGTTTTCCTCTCCGCTACATCAATATCAGTACTACATTCATCTAAAAGATAAATAGCATTTGGTTGTAACATTCCATGAAGAATTTGTACACGTCTTCTTTCTCCTGAACTCATAGCTGTTATTCCTCTTTGTAGTGAGATATGAAGAGCATCTGCAATGTTCTGTTTTCTCTCCTGTGATGGGGCAGGTGAGGCTATTTTATCTACAGTAGTCGCGAAGAATGCCTCTGGTGGCCACGGTTGTCCAATAAGGGAAACGTATTGTTGAAGACATGTATTATCAAATGCATCTGATCCCAATACGGTGGCTGAACCACATAATGCTTTTCGTCTACCTGCAATGAGAGAAAGAAGTGTTGACTTTCCACTACCATTATGGCCAACAACGAGAATACGATCCCCTTTGTTTACACGAAGGTTTATATTATGAATTCCACTTGTTGCGGATTTCGTATTTGCCGTCACTTCTGTAGTGGAGTATGGATACTCAAAGGAGACACTTCTGAGATCGATAAGAGGATCATCAAAGGTCTGTTTCATTATTATTATTATTATTATTATTATTATTATTATTAATGGACACAATGTATAGAAATACAACTCTCTACAAAAAAAAAACCAAGTACCTACAATCCAATGGAATTAAAGAAGAAAAAAGAAAAGAAGAAAAAAAAAATAAGAAATACTAGAGTTCCCAGAACGTTTTTTTTCTTTTTTATTAAAATAAAATAAAAATCCATTTTTTCTCTTATCATTTACCTCATCATTTTTTTCTTTTTCTTTGTTTGACATATTCTAGTGAATTTCTTTCTCTTCATTTAAAGCAATAACTCCACGAGATTGTTTTTTCTTCGTTTTTTTTTTCCCCTTCGTTTTTTCGTGTTTATAAATAATATATATATATTATATGATATATTATATGCAGTGGCAATAAAAATAAAAATAAAAATAAATAAAAAAAAACCTACACGATATCGGTCACCATGTCTGGTGTAATCACTACCATCTTCGAGCCACCAAAAACACTATTGGCCTCTTCCTTATGCACCACAAGCACCACTCCCTTCGCGGCTCGTTGAATCATCTGAACTCGGCCCACACCTTGACGCCCTTCATTCACATCTGCTGAGTTAACAGTGGAGAGAGGATCGTGAAAGCGTACATCCACTCCAGGCTGTATGCGTCTACCGTTAATAAGTGTCTCTTTCAGCAGTGTTTCCTGTTGAGATGTGGGGTTTCGGTTATTATCTATGGGTTGTGGGGTTGACATTAATATAGGATCTATGGAGTCTGGCAGCGGTGTCCCGCGTTCATTCATTGGTCGAGAAAATGAAAACATTTCTTTTTCTTCTTCCTCTTCTTCCTTCTCATTCTCATTCTCAGCAGTCACCGCGGCTGCAGAGATGGAAATAGTATCTCGTGGAGGTGATTCTAATGTGTAGACATGACGCATCTGTGCAGCATCCACCACGTAAACAGGAACATTAAAGATAAGATCCTCTACAGATACAGTAGTCATGCGTGAACCTAAATATAAGGTTGTATGTGTATCAATATTTCCTGTTCGTGGATTTTGTTGCATTACTGTATACTTCACTTCATACAGTCGCATCGTTACGGCATTATCATTTCCTTCAAGACGAACCACACGACCCAATGCCACTATTGGAGCCTCATTACTATTATTGTTATTATTATTATTATTATTATTCTTTCTATGGCTGCTACTATTACCATGAGTACCATTCATCTGTGAAAGACGAAAGTAATAATCTTCACCTTCCAATACCTCTAATGCGTTAACGGCAGGAGTCGATGTACGACTCACACCACGACCCACACATAATAGTGGTGAATGTACAATTTCATCTTTTTCTTCCACATCTTCTTTTTCATTTTCTATGAATTCCTCTTCTTCTCGAGGTCTTTTAATACCAAATACCTGTCTTGAAAGAGGTTGAATATCCTTTTCCTCACAATTATTATCTTCATCATTATTATCATTATTGTTAGCATCATCTATTTCCTCTGAAGATGGAAGTGAAAAGAAATATTCGTGAATACGATGAATAAGCCATGACTTCTCCATTAGAGCTACAGATGTTATTTCAGGTGCTATTTGTACACGCTTACCAGGAGCAATGTATATATAATCTGGTGATAGACCCTCATCTGTACAGTGTTCTCGTGTTAATATACCACCACAGATATTAATAAGAAGTAAAATATCAGCATCATCTACAGGAACATAAATACGTTTTTGACTAAGAAAACGTTTATGACGTGGTAACATTCGTCCTCGCACATTATTATTTTTATTAATATTATTATTATTATTATTATTATTATTATTATTATTATTATTATTATTATTATTATTTCTTTGACCTATCAAGTATTCTGATTTGGGAATACAAATACGTAAGTGATCTCCCAAACCATCAGCCTCAAGTCGTTTTAACCATTCCACGGATACCGCTGAAACACCCATGGCATGTGCAATAGCAATAACTATCCCATCATTTATCTTTGCATCTTCTTCAGTTACAACAAAGAAAAACATTTCTTTTTGATATTTCTTTTTTTCTTCTTCTTTTCCTTTTTCTAGTTGTTGATTATGATGATGAAGTCGTTGTTGTTGTCGTCGCCAAAGAGAAATGGATTTTTCATTTAATATATTCAACTGAGAAAGTGATTCCACCACTAAGGTACCATGTTCTACTAACGTATTGAGAACAGAAGATGAAACTCCCAAATGTTTTCTTGCTGTTTGCGTAAGAAATAATGAGAGTGAAGCTGGACTCAACCATTTATCATTCTCCATATCATTTAATCCTTTTTCTTCCATATTTAATGTGAATTGCTGAGGAGTCTCATTTTCCATAATTTCCACTAACTGTGTAGCTGTCATAACAGAGTGTGGGGTTAACCTTTTCTCCGTATTATTTCCATTTTCTGTTATTTTTCCTTTTGGTAAACGAACCTCTTTTGTCTTTAGATGTAAAAAAGATCCATCCTCATCCCAGCGGATCTGCACATATCCATTCTTTTCCTCTTCCGTTACAAGAGCTCCAAACCATTGACGACCCCACTGTGCTTCTACACGCATTCCAAGAGAGTAATGAGGATGTTTGGTATGATTATTCACACAAGTATTATTTAACGATGAACCTTGATGTGCAAATGAGGCTGGTTTAAAAAGAGGAGCATCTTCTTCCTCTTCTTCTTCTTGTTCTTGTTCACTGCTATTTCCCTTTATAGGAATTAATGGAGGCATAACAAAAATCTCTTTTTCTCTTTCAGATTCTCCTATTGCATATTGTTGTCCATCATCCAATGTAGATAAGGCACATGACCTAGCAGTCAAATCCAAAGGAAATGAAGAAGTCTTCATACAAGCATCACCATTTGTATCTAAAAGTGTATTCCCATCTAGAGAATTTTCTAATCCCGTTTCCTTATGCCCATTCTGTTGTTTCCAAAAACGAAAAGGAATAACATTAGCATCCTCACCAGGTGAAATATCTTGTACAAGTAATGTAGAAGCCACTTCTCCTGTTCCTTGAGATGTCTGTGGAGGTTTAAAAGCACAACATTCTGGTGTTTCAATTAGACGTGGAGTAGAGAAATTGCGTTCCACTACAGGTGAATTTTGTGCAGAACCACACGGTTTAAACTGCTCTCCACTAGAATACACCATCTCTCCACGAACAATGAGTAGTTGTTCCTCTTCTTCTTCTTCTTCATCAACATTACCATTTTCATCTGTCATTGGGCCAGAGGAAGAGGTATGTAATAGTTTATTCTCAGAAAAAATACTCTTGTGATGACGATTCTTTTTTTTCGTTTCTTCCTTTTCAACTTCTTGTAAGACTCCAGCCATGTTTACTTTCTGCTGTTGTAGTGAATCAGGGAAACTATCTGTGGTCACAAGATCAGGTGAGAGACGTTTTTTCTGCATACATGCTTGCTGCTCCTTCTCCTTCTCACTCACATTCTTCTCATTCTCATCCAAATGTAATTCCCACAATGGGTCATGTGTATATAATGAATGTTTTTGATTTGAAAGAAATGCGTTAATATTTTTTTCCCACTCCTTAGACAATGTTGAATGATGTGCGGTAGAACCTTGTCCTCCTCCTCCTCCTCCTCCTCCTTGTTCGAACTCTAATTTCCGTGTTGGTGTTGTCTTTTCCAGTACTGTCTGAGATTCCTCATCCATTTGTTGTGTCACATCTGCACTCTTATAAGTTTTTTTCTTCCGTCCAGCACAAGTCCGTCGTGAGGGCATAATGAAATATTTTTCTTTTTCTTTTTTTTATTATTTTCTTTTCTTTTCTTTTTTTTTTTTTTT